CTGCCAACATGGTTCTTCAAAAACTGCATGCGTGGAGTCAGGAAAATGGCCTGGCTATCAACCCGTCAAAGTGTGAAGCCGCTTGGTTCACACTATCCACGCACACGGAGTCAGATTATGATCGTGAAGGAAAGTGGCCCCTGGTAGTGGCTGGATGTCAAATCCCAGTCATGACCATGGGGGCATCGCGAACTACGAAGCTTCTCGGCATGGATCTCGATCCACGACTGACGCTAAATGTGGCGGCCACCAAGCAATGCGCCGCCACTTCGCAACGGATATCGCAGCTACGCTGCATAGCGCGCAAAGAGGCGGGACCATCTCCACATGACCTACGCACGTTCGTCATTGGATACGGTGCTTCCAAATTACGCTATGGCAGCGAGCTCATATGGGCAGTAGCGACGGATTCAGCGAAGAATGAGATGCAGAAGACGTACGCAACTCTAGCACGCATTGTCAGCGGAGTTCCGAGCACTGTCGACCCGGAATCCGCACTACTGGAGGCTAATATGCCGCCGCTCCACGTCCTTTGCCTGCGCGCACGGCTCTCCATATTTGAGAACACACGCGCATGTCAGACGGACTGGATGCGGAGACCCCCGCCTGAGCCACCGCCTCGCGCTGGTTTCCGCATCTCGCCATTATCTCGGGACGAGCTATATTCCTTCGTAGACGCATACACAAAGGACTATGGCATCACCGAGAGCTCACCACGCAAAGAGCGGTTCTTTCGCAGCTCCATTCCTCCCTGGTTTGCGGCCTCCGCTCACCGGGTCACCATCGGCGTGGAACTTCCGATAGACCACTCAATAACTGACGAAGAGGAGCTGATAAGGGAAAAGCGCAGAGTCAGCGAAGAGGCTCTGGCGCTGCACAGCCATCGTTCGTGGATGCTTGCGACCGATGGCGGTGTCGACGTTCCCAAGTCAGCAGGGGTTGGAATACTGCTTTCATCCCTCAACTCATCGGAGATAATAGAAAAGGCCAGCATGAACTGCGGTGCACGCCCATGCAGCTACAGGACGGAATCCCGTGCGCTGCTTCTAGCCCTAGAGAAGCTGATGATTCCTCGTATCCGCCACAGGCGTAAAACCCTGCTTGTGGTTACGGACAGTCATTCCCTTCTGGCCGCCGTCACCAAGGGCCCGCTCAGTCAGACAGACTGGACGGAGGATCAGATCTGGCAGCGTCTCTTGACACTGACGTGTGCTGGCTGGTCCGTGCACCTGCAGTTTTGTTACGGACATTGTGGAGCACATGCTAACGAGCTTGCAGATCAGTATGCGACGCAGACTATGGAAAGTGGACAATACACGGAGCAAGGAATCGCACCTTTATGGCATACGGATCTGCTGACATGTTTTACTACCCAGCTCACCAACAAGTGGCGTAGTACCATTCGTCAAGATACTCATCGCTACTTGCTTTGCGGCACAAGGCCATCAGATCTCAGCGGTAAGGACCTGATCACTCAGGAAGTTCTACACCGTCAGGAACTGGTTCACCTCGCAAGGGCAAGGTGCGGGGAATCTGAGCTCTGGGGCCGACTATACTGGGCCGTGAGAGATTGCACGAACCAATGCCGATTCTGCAACATCTCACCGGAACAGTCTGCATACATGCGCTCTAACAACGATCCAACTGCACCGGGGACGGACGCTGTTCCCCCGTCGGCAGGGGAAGAAGACGTCTCTCCAGTAAGGAGACGGACCCTCACACGCCGTCGGAAGGAGAAATGTCCGCACTGTGATTCTACATTGACGGGATTCTCGAGTCTCGTCAGTCACTGTCGGTCATTCCATCCGGAACATCCTCCACCGCTTCCCGAGCTCAAATGTGATTTCTGTGACATGGTTTTCCCCACACGGAGAAGCACCGCACAGCACAGAAGTCGCTGCGCACACAACCCAGACGCCACACGACATCGAAACAGCAGTGCCAGGAGGCGATCTCTGCTGCCGCAGGATCAGCCAGCTTCCACAAGCACGCCAATTGGCCCGCAGGAAACCCTGCACCATCTGCTTCTAGAATGTCCAGGCACCTTGGCTGTGCGTCAACGGCTGGGCATTGAACTGGACCTTCGCCTCGGAAAGTTCTCTCAATGGCAGTTGCTTCATAGCAGGAAGCTTTTGTCGTTGCTCGACCACCTCTTCGGCACTCAGATGGCACTGTATAGCTAGACGCTGGTAAGAGTAGAAAAAAAAAATACAGGCATCAGGTCATTATTTGGGTATGAGGCGAGCTGTAAAGGGTGAAGTGATCTTCGACGAGGATATACGCAAGCTTTGCGATAAGGGCGTCAACAATCTACCTGGGTGGTCATTAGCTGCTGCGGAGGTAAAAGCAAGTGTTCATAACTCCAATAAACATTTCTTGGATGCAGCCGCCGAGGAGGCGTGGAACCCAACGACGACGAGCGCACCGGAGAAACTGGAGGGATTGTACAATTCTGTGCACAATGCGAGGTGGAGCCATGCGATGGAACTTCCGGACGGCGTGGAGAGAACGAAAACGGAGACGGGAATGGATGTGAGGGAAGCCAGAACAGTCATGGTCGTACAAGAAAGCTGACGACGCTATCGAAGAGAACGACGCTGTGCAGCAATTCGGTGCAGCACCTCCCGTGTTGATGGTGCTTGCCTCGGAGAAGGGATGGCCGTATACGATGAATACGATACAGGATCTTCCTAAGGACGTTTTTGTAAACTGTGCGGTGGATCGGGCGTGGCAAATCGTCCTTGACGATCTAACTAAGTGGTTTAGCAATTTTCATTTGACTCTCAATTCTTCACCCGTGCCGCATTTGTTGATTGGGACGCCCGGAATCGGGAAGTCGATGGCTGCCGGTTCGTACCTCCTCTACCAGCTGCTGCACTGCGATGCGGAGCAGCTCCCAATGGTTGCGTACGTTATTGGGAGTCAATCATTCCTGTTTGACAAGACCACCAAAACGGTATCAACATACAGGGGTGACCCCAGGATTGAGGATGTTGTAAACATTTTTTCTTTGCGTGGGGTGAAAGGGTATATTATCTACGACGTGGCATTGGCATCTCGTCAACCGTCTGCCGGTTTGCCTTGCAAGGGATGGGGCATGATTGTGGTGACACCACCAGACAAAAACGAATATGAACGGCGGACAAAAAAAATGGACGCTACTGCAATCGTAACGAATTGTCCCGAAGAAAACGATGTGAGGGCAATGTGCATTTGGATGAAGCGCAATCGACCCCTGCAGGAGCAAGCGGAGTACTGGAAGGAGGTGAGGGGTCGCATGAATAACGTGGGACCAATTCTCCGCTTCATCTTTGGCAAACAGGCATATGATGACTGCATTAAAGCGTGTCAGCAGGCCGTGGATGGGTCGACCGCCTCGGAATTAGAGCGCAATTTGGGTATTGGCTGTTACTCGTCCAATGACAGTGAATTGTCTCGAAAGCTTGTGAAGGTTGTCCGAGTACGACGAGGATACAATTTTGCATCGCCTTTGAATGTACTGATATCTCCCCACCTCGAACGCGAAATATTGTCCCGGCTGGAAAATGAAATGAAGCAGTCCGATTTTATTTTTTTTGTTTCGAGGTTCTGGGATTATGTCCCACCATACATTATTGAAAAGTACGCCGTATCCGCATTTTTGAATGAGGATTTACTGCGTGCGATAAGACTTAAAATCAGGGAACTGAGGCCACCAGGACGACGTGAGCCACACAGCTGTGCGCTGAAAGAGCACTCAGACAAGAGCTTCACCAGGAAAGAGGTTCTACCGCCACCCGAACGTCTTTCCAATCCGGTTGCTATGGACCACTGGGTGCTGTATGAGCCCAAAATCCAAAACTTTCCGTTGGTGGACGGCTTTTTCTTTGTGGACTCAAATCCTAAGATGCTGGTTGGACTGCGGATGGCTGCGGCGGGTGAGCACCACAAGATAACCAGCACTGTGAGGCAGTTCACTGAGTGCCTGGCGGCATATTTTAATGGATGGAAGAAATTATCCCGAGACATGTTGTGGGAGATTATTTACGTGCAGCACGAGATATGCAGGCCGATGAATGACTGGCGGAGATGTGAAGTCGTCAATTCCAATAATTTGGGCGAGGAGAGCCGTGAGATTCGGCGTTCTGGAAGGAAAAGGTGCGTCAGTACCAAGTGTCAATACCATCCGGAGATATTAGAATCGACGAGGCTTTCCGAAGTGAGGAATAACCACAGATATACGAAAACAATTAGGGAGGGAAAGGGGTGCTTTGGTTCTTGTTATGAACTACTAGGGGTTGTTCCATACATTTTTGGATACTTGTGTGTGTATACTGTGCGTAATTGGAGAATTGCCCGGTATGAGGGAATTATTGCGGCCAGTGTTGTTGCAGTGCTACCGCATTGTTTATTTTCTTCTATTGTGCTCTAAGGCCCATCACGAATAGAAGCATCCTTAAGGGATGGACGAAGAATAATTCCTGTTGAGGAAATGGTGCACCCCGTGTGGCTGCATGGAGTGGGGCAACGCGTCATGGTTGGATAAGGATCCGCTTCTGCGTGTGTCTCTTTGGGTGATTGCTCGCTTGGTGTGCGTTGTCTGTTGGCTGCGGGGCTGTGGCCGTATCCCGTTGGCCGTGGGATTGAAGTGGAGGCGGTGGCGGTGTGTCTCTTTTCCTCGCCCATTGTGGGTGAATGCGGGCGGTGCGCGCGTTTTTTGTGTGGAGGACCAAATCCTCCCACGCGCGGTCTGGCAGCGCTGCGATGGTGTTTGTGAGGGCTGGTGTGTAGGCGATGGTTCTCCGTGCTGTTCCTTCCGGATTCTCTCGTGTCCCGCTCTCCGCATGGGTGCTCTGCTCTGTTCCCCACGGACGTGTGTGATGTATTGCCGCTTTTTTCTTCTTTCAATTGTTGAACACACTCACGCTGGGAAGGAAAGAAAACAAGCGCCAAACGCTACTGTGAAATTTAAAGGCACTGAAAGGACCAACAGCACCCACCGCCCACACACACATATTTGTATGCTCTCACGTGTTGCTGCAGTCATGGCACCCCGCACACACAACCGTCGCCGCGTGACCGGATCCAGCGGAAGGAGGAGGGAAGGAAGAGAGAGTGAGCCGCAGAGGCCCAACATTTCCCGGCGTGTGTTTACTTCCGCGGTGCTGCTCCTCCTTGTCGTCGTGATGATGATGTGCTGCAGCACTGGTGGAGGTGCACAAGCTGCTGAGGTGGATCAGTCGTCTAATCCACGGTTTCAATGGAAGGACATCAAGAGTGAGGGTGGTGTAACTGTGGACTCGTTGGGTGTTCCCGGCCTTCTAAAAGTGGGGAGTGGCGTATTTGTCGTTGCCGAGGCGCAGTGCAAAAAGGATGGAAACAGCGGCTTTAGTGGCATTGTATCCCAACTTCTCACGGAAACAGAGGATAACGAGCCGAAGGAAGTGCTGAAGGAAGCCAAAAAGGATACACAAGTTCTGGAGGAAGTTACTTCTGCAAAGGAGGAGAAGAGAGTAAATGTGAGCCGACCAACAGCAGTTGTGGAGGGAAGTAATATTTACATGCTTGTTGGAAAACACAGCCATGGAGATCTCGCTGAATGTAAGGCTGGGACTGAGAAGATCAAATCGGAAATATTGCTGGTGAAAGGGACAGTCAGTGGTGATGAAGCAGAGAAAAAAATCCGCTGGAACGATACTGACGGTCTCCCGTGCACTCTGGGCGAGGAACACAAATCCCTGTCACAGCTGATTCTTGGCGGTGGATCGGGTGTTAAGATGCATGATGATACGCTTGTGTTCCCAGTGGAAGGCAAGAAGAAGAAGGAGAAGGAGGAGAAAGATGTGAAAACCGTTTCACTGATCCTATACTCGAAGGACTTTACGACTTGGACGCTGTCGAAGGGGATGTCTGCCGATGGCTGCAGTGTTCCCTCCGTCGTGGAGTGGGAGAAGGAAAAAAAACTCATGATGATGACTGCGTGTGATGATGGCCCCCGCAGGGTGTACGAGTCCGACGACAAGGGGGATTCGTGGACGGAGGCACTCGGGACACTCTCGCGCGTGTGGGGCAACAAACGGGATAAAAAAGCGAAACTCGTTAGAAGCGGGTTCATCACAGCGCGGACTGACGGGGTTGAAGATAAGAGAACTGTGATGCTCGTCACTCTGCCGGTCTACTCCAAAAAAGAGAAAAATGGAAACAGCAATGGAAAGGGTGTACTCCATCTTTGGGTTACGGACAATACGCACATTGTTGATATTGGGCCGGTATCCGGTGATGAGGACGCTGCCGCCAGCTCCCTGTTGTACAGAAGTGGTAAAGATGGTAAAAATAAGAAGGAGTTGATTGCACTGTACGAGAAGAAGAAGGGCGATGAGAAAGAAACATCACCCGGTATGGTCTCTGTGATTCTGACTGAGCAGCTGAAGCGTGTGAAGGAGGTGCTGAAGACATGGAATGAAGTGGACAAACGTGTCTCCAAGCTGTGCGCTTCTGAGAATGCTAAGGAGGATCCCTCACCTGCCACTGCCTGCGGCGCCGCCATTCCGACGGATGGGCTGGTTGGCTTTTTGTCCGGCAAGTTCTCTGATGGCACATGGAGGGACGAGTACCTCGGCGTGAACGCCACAGTAAAGAAGAATGATGGGGTGGAGAAAAAGGAAAATGGCGTAACATTTAAAGGGCGTGGTGCGTGGGCGGAGTGGCCCGTTGGCAGTCAAGGGGAGAATCAGCTGTACCACTTTGCGAATTACAACTTCACTCTTGTGGCGACAGTGTCCATCCACGGTGAGCCGAAGGGAGATACCCCCATTTCTTTGATGGGCGTGAAGACGAATGGTGCTGAGAATACAGTACTCCTGGGACTGTCGTACAGCAACAACGAGAAGAAATGGATGCTACTCTGCGGTGGCGGAACGAAGTCAGAGGAGCTTAGCAGCCCTTGGGAGCCAGGGAAAAAACACCAATTGGCCATTGTGCTACAGAACGGCAGCCAGGGCTCCGCGTACGTTGATGGTCAGCGTTTGGGTGGGGATGAACAATGTGAATTGAAAGTGACGGAACCGAACGAAATCTCCCACTTCTACATTGGAGGGGATGGAGGCGGCGCAGGGAGCCAAGAAGGCGTGTCTGTGACCGTGACGAACGTCCTGCTGTACAACCGCCCGTTGAATGAAGCAGAAATTGTCGCCCTCAAACCCAATAAAGACTCCACTTCACCTTTGGAAAAGAATCCGTCGGAGCACTCAACAGTTTCTTCTACCTCCATTATAACTCCCATATCTCCGGTGTCCCCGAATGCTCAGAAAACCGAAACTCCGTCTACTCCTGTCGGAACACAGCTGACGGAACAGGGACAGTCAATGGGGAGCAGTAAAGGTGCGGGCAGTGGCGCTGCATCCGCATCAGCGGTGTCCACTGTCAGTAATTCCTCAGCAGGAAAGGAGTCCGTAGTGCAGGTGACGTCAGGAACATCTCCCGACGGGACTCAAACTGTGGGTGGCGGTTCTACTGCAGTTGGCGAGCCAACGATGGAGACCCGAGAAGGAGGAACGAATGGGCAGGAGGAGGAGGTTAATCAACAGGTCATGGAAGTAAATACTACGGCGCTCAACAGCAGCCTCGGAAATGTGTCGCAGGGGAATAACAGTGATGCTGGCACTATGCGTGAGAGCGGACTGCTGCCATCGCTGCTTCTTCTCCTGTTGGGATTGTGGTGGTTTGCGGCTCTGTGAGGCGTGACTGGCTGCCGCGTGGAATACCTGCGCCCTTCCCAGCAGAGAATTACTTCCTCTGGAAAGAATATTTTTGATACTTTTACTTTTTTTGCGTATTTTAAATTTATTTTACTGTTTGCTACTTTCTTGTTTTAAAATTCTTTTTTTCTTTTCTTTTTTAAAAATCTCTCATCCCTCTTTTTGCTTTCGGGGCAATCACTGTGGACGTTTTCTTTTCCACTCTTCCCTCTTTAATTGTTTGTTGCTGCACTCTTCCTGTGAGGGTGACGTGTGTTCCCGCCCAACTGCTCCACTCGCACACCGCCGACACGCTCATGACGACGGCCCTGTGCGCCTTGCCTGCTGCACGCATGAGGAGGGGCCGCGACGAACGGCGCGCTGAGGGAGCCGTGACGTGTGGGCGTGCGACGAGGGCCTGTGGGGCGGAGCACACATTTCTTCCCTCTTGTTTTGCTTTCTTGCGGCCAGGGCGGGCAGACACCCGCAGCGCCACACACACAGCCACACCCTGCCGCCGTGTTTTTCTTTTCTTTTTCATTTATAATTATTTTGTGTGATGGGGTTTGTATGAGACGAAGGGGAAAGTTTTTTTGTTTTGTTTTAAATAAATCTTGTGTGGATTGCCGCTGCTTGGGCTGCAGTGCAGTCATGAGTTTGAGCAGTCTTGTTGTTGTTGTTTCCGCCATGCGTCTCTGCTGCACATTTTTGTGTGTTTCTCCACACACTCTGCTCTCTTTTCTACTTTTCTGCTTTGTGTTTCTGCAGGCACACACAACCACACACACAAGATGCACAGTGCGGTGGATTTGAATGCTTCTTTTGTGGTGCATGCTGGCAGTTGCGTGTGGCGGCTGTTGTCTTCTTCCGTGGCTATGAGGAGAAGTGAGGAGGGAGTGCGCAGCCCGAGTCTCCTTTTCTGCGGGTGTGATGCACCGCGTGTGACTGCGTTGAGTTGGGCTCCGTGTCCCATTGAGGGCGGGATGGCTGGAAATTTTGTTGCCGCGTCATGGATGGATGAGGGTCCACTGGCGCGTGTGGCTGGTGTGGTGATTGCCTGCTCCGTGTGTGTTGTGTGGTGGCCGCGGGGTTTTTGCCATTTCCCTGGGGCTGTGGCGATGAGCTGGGAGGAGATGGTGGTGGATGTGTTGTCCTTCTGCATGGTGGGTGACTGCTGGCGTTGTGTGTCTTCGTTGCGTGGATGCCGTCTCGTGGCGTGTGAACTGTGCGGCTGGGCCTCCTGCCCTCTCCTCATGTTGTCTGCTCTTTCTCGCTGCGTCCGCTGCACTCCGTCCCTCTCCCTCCTGTTACATCCCTTTTCCTTCTGGCTCACGGATCGGCTGACTGATTCCAACGACTCCACCACGGGTGATGACGGCTGCGATGGTGACGATGGTGACGGTGCGGCGCCATGTTGGTCCTTGCGCTCTTGTGCTGCTGCTGGGAGTCCTGGAGATGTATCTGGTGCTGCGGATGCGCTGGTTGTGCCGGTGGTTGTGCCGGTGGATGTGTCGTGTGCTCCGAGTGACGGCAGCCTGAGCTATATTGTGTGTGTGGATGTGTGTGGGCGTGGAAGAAGTATTCTGCTGCCAGTGCTGAGGCTCAGTAGGAGAATTACACTTTCAGTGGCTTTGGTGTGCGCATGCATGGCAGGAATGGTGAGCTGGGTGCTGTGTGCCATTTGGCCAGTGCGGTGCACACATGTAGCAACTGTGCCGCCAGCTGTGCAAGGAAAGAGGAAGGGGCCACCGTTGCCTTCACGATGAATGTGACGACGCATAAATACGCCGGCCCTTATGAATTGTGGTGGCGTCTATTTTCCCCCGATGGAGCCATCCATCCGCCTGCACGGAGCAGCGATGCTGACCGGACGGGCATCTGTCAGTTGCCGCCACCCCGTGAAGGGAAGGATGACACAAAATCTGGTGGGACAACTGCGCCGCAAGTTAATGCTGAGCCGTCACGTCAGAACGAGGATTGGCGACGGTCTGCGGCGGTTGACGGACCCAACACCGTCGATCCGAGTCCCTCATCTAACACGGCGACCAACACGTCCGAGACGAGGCCTGAGTTTGCCTTTGTTCGGAACACAAAAGTGGCTCCGATACCACCCGAAAGAAGGTCCACGCCTGTCACGGAGCCGAAGGAGGATCCCATTGATGATGCGATGAGTGGTTCAATAAACGTTGAGTTGCCGCGTGGAGTCAATCTATTTGTGCCGCAGACGACGCTGGTGCAGCCGAAGGATGGGATTGTTCCAGTTACGGCGAGGGATTCGTTTGCCTCACCCTCTCTAGTCAGTGCTGGTGGAGTAATTGCTGCTTTCGCCGAGGTCACATGTATGCCGAATATCAAGGTGGTCAATTAAGTAAGCCCTTTTCTTCTGATGTGGTTGCGGGGTGCATTGACTCTGCGTGGAATTGGTCCACTGTTGTTGGTGAGGTCAATAAAAGATACACGGAGGGCACACACTGTGCCTGGTGCAGCGGAGGGAAAGGAGAGTTTGGGTGTTGTGCTCCGCCCCACAACAATCACGTAGGGCCAGAGAGCGTTTCCTCCTGCGGGAGGCTCTGATGTGTCCTACGAAGGTGGGTGCTGGGGAGATGGCGGCTTGGAGCTGAAACTGTTTGTGGGTGATGTCACGAATCCCACGGGTGGCAGGCAGAGTGGACGGATCGAATGGGGCGACCCCAAACCACTCCCGGAACGGATCTCTTCTGCTTTTCACGAAGGTGACTGGACGGAGTTCATTGCTTCTGCTGGCGCAGGTGTTGTGATGGAGGATGGCACGCCTGTGTTTCCTCTGGCGAAGAATGAGGCAGAAGACGTTTGCTCCATGATCATTCACTCGACGGACAACGGCAGTGCCTGGGCGCTCTCTGAGGACATTTCCTCTGCGGAATGCCTTAACCCCGCGTCACCGAGTGGGAGGGATCACTTCACATGATTGTTGACTGCGAGAATGGCGAGAGGGTGTAGGCGTCGCGTGACATGGGAACAGCGTGGACGGAGGCTCTCGGGGCACTCTCAGCCGTGTGGGTCAACGCACGATCAGAATTCTCGCAGAAGGAAAGCCTGCGTGTGGATGCCCTCATCACCGCGACCATTGAGGAAAGGAAGATCATGCCGTACAGTCAGAGGGCACACCTCGGGGAAGAAAAGGGCCACTGCGCTCTGCCTTTGGGTCACGGACAGCAACCGCACGTTTTCTGTTGGACCGGTTGCCGTGGACAATGCTGCGGATTGGATGCTCGCCAGCACCCTGCTGCACTCGGATGGCAATTTGCATCTTTTACAAGGGAGGGGCAATGGTGAGGGCCGTGCCATTTCGCCTGCCCGCCTGACGGAGGAACTGAGTGCAATCGAGTCCGTCCCCAGTGCTTGGGTGCAAAAGGACGCCTTCTTCTCCAGCTTGTCTACACCCACGGCGGGTCTGGTGGCAGTTTTGTCCGATGCGGCCAACAACGACACGTGGAACGACGAGTACCTTTGCCTGAATGCGATGGTGGAGGAACGCAGTGAAGGACTGCGATAGGTTCAAATTCACGGGACTTGGGTCCAGGGCAATATGGCCCGTGAACACTCGGGATGATAAGGTGCGTCATGTATTCTTGAGCCACCACTTCACACTTGTGGCGTCGGTGACCATCGAAGGGACTTCGAGTGGGAACACTCCTCTACTGACTGCGACGTTGGCGGACACTAATTCCAATCATACCATGGGACTGTCGTATACGGCGGATAAGACGTGGGAGACGGCGTTTGAAGGCAAGACAACAACACGGAGCAGCACTTGGGAGCCGAAGGAAGAATACCAAGTGGCACTCATGCTGCAAGGCAAAAAGGCCTCTGTGTACATTGATGGTGAGTTGCTGGGGGAGGAAGAAGTGCCGTTAACGGGTGAGGCGCCACTTGAGCTTGTACGCTTTTGCTTTGGCGCGTGCGGTGAGGATGCCGGCCGGAAAACTAAGGTGACGGTGAAGAACGTCTTTCTGTACAACCGCCCACTGAATTCCACTGAGATAAATGCACTCAAGGACAAGGCCCACACTTTGAATGGCCCGGGGGAAGCACTGGCGGGGTGGGCAGCTCTGGAGGGAGCTGCCGCCAGAGAACATGCGGCTGTGGTGGGCTTGACATCTGCTGGGAGCGGGCTGCTGCCGCTGCTTCTCCTGTTGGGACTGTGGGGCTTTGCGGCTGCGTGAGGAGCGTGCGACCTCAGTGTGGAACACTTGCGCTCTCCTCTGCAGGACACACACACACCGCTAGGAATAAATTTTACCCCGTGGAGAATAATCTCTTTTTGTTTTAAATTTACTTCACTTCTTTTTTGCTTGATGATTTAGGGCAACCACCATGGACTTTTTTCTTTTTTACTCTTCCCCCTTTTAATTGCTTCTTGCTGCACTCTTCCTGTGAGGGTGACGTGTGTTCCCGCCCAACTGCTCCACTCGCACACCGCCGACACGCTCATGACGACGGCCCTGTGCGCCTTGCCTGCTGCACGCATGAGGAGGGCCGCGACGAACGGCGCGCTGAGGGAGCCGTGACGTGTGGGCGTGCGACGAGGGCCTGTGGGGCGGAGCACACATTTTTTTCCCTCTTTTGTTTTGTTTTCTTGCGGCCAGGGCTGGCAGACACCCGCAGCGCCACACACACAGCCACACCCTGCCGCCGTGTTTTTCTTTTCTTTTTTTCGTTTTTTATTCGATGGGTGTGTGCTGCCACCGTGCGTGATTGTTGAGGTTGGGGCCGTACCGCATGTATCGCTGCCATCCAGCTGTGCCTCTTGCTGTGTTGATGTGCCTCCTTGTGCTTCTCTTTGCTGCTTCTCCAGCACACACGCAAATGAGTATTTCCACAGTGCTCTGCAGGAATGTTTTTGGTAACGAGGGACGTTGGCTTGCGTCTCGTGCTGAAATGATGACGGTGCTGCACGATGCCTGCCATGAAGGTGTTGCCTGCTCTTGGGGTCATTTTTATCACCTTTTTGTTTTTGC